CGCAACGGTCAGCAGAGCGCTGGGTCCTTTGGGCTTCTCAGATGAGCTCTCCTTTGGCATATTGTGATCGCGCAAATAAACCTGAGTGCGACCCAGGCGAGAGGCCGTGGCTACGCTGCCCTTCATGTAGGCCACATTCTCGTCCTCCACCTCCAAATAGTATTGCTTATTGGCTGTTATGTCATGAAGTCTGTCCATTTTCAGTTGCATTATGCGAAAGTTGATCGTATCGCCAGCCATGATGGTCACCTCCGAGGGCTCAATTATTATGTTGGCCAGCACACTGATGTACACCTCGACGGGCGGTACATGTCTGTACTCTGGCTGGGGCATGCTGACAGCAACTTTGGAGGTGCCCGTATTGATGCCCTCCAGCAGGATCATATAGCCCTTGACGCCAGCTGCTTCGAATTTCTCCAGCGACGGCGGCACCACATGGAACGGACTGTCCGAGAAGGTGAGGAAGCGTAGGGCAGGTGGCATATTATTACTCGGTGAGGATATGTCCCAGTTGAACTCGATGCCTTCCAGCGTAAAGAATTCATTGCCTTGCGAGTCAAAGGCGTGCAGCTCGAATGTGGCTGGCGCTTCCTCCAGGTACAGCTGTCTGGTGGCTGTGCGCACATTCAGCCGGTCAATCGTATCCACAATCACATCACAGCGGAGCGTTGCGCCTGTGGCCACCTCCTCGGCGAAGACAATCGCCGTGTTGCGACGCCGCTCACGTGTCTGCACGGTGACTATGGCCTGGCTTGAGCACTCCGAAAATCCATTTTGCACAGGCGTGACACTTATCAGATCTTGGCGCGAAGATGTCCTAAAAATAAAACCATTAATATAAGTAATCTGCTTTTAGGTTATAAAGCAGACGCCGGCTGCTGCGATGTTTCACCATTTATAGCAATTGGGATCGACGACTTCCAGCGTAAAATTGATGGATTTGTCTTGAAATATCGGCAGCAGAACACGCGGATGGTTCAATTTCGCCGATTCACACACATTTTGTGATACAAATAGCAGTAGAAATAAACAAAATACTTTCTGCATTTTGGCACATGTAAGCGTCCGTTTCAAAGAGTCGCGTTATTTCTACTGAACTGACTCATATATGATGACAAATGAACAGAAAACCAAGCGATATATGGTTCATATAAACGAATGAACAAGTCTATCGTATTCACGCGTCTATCGATATAATTGCAGTTCCAGATTTTGGCGCCAATTCATAGTTAGTGATTAATCAGCTGTATACAAAAATTGTTAAGTTTTTAAGTGTCATTATATATATTTATATCATTCATTAACAGAAAATATTAATTAAACATTTTAAATTAATAATGCATTGCATGCATTTTGTAGTGACACCACACAATAGTTCAGATGAACTAAATTGCTCACCACAATACAGCAAGTATCGATTCATAAGCACGCAAAACTATCGGAGCCACTTAATTGCGCGGCAATTCAAATGATTTGATAACAAAATTTATTTTGTAAGAACAATAAAAATATATAAAATTTACAGTTTGGCAAAAGGACCTTCATCATCTAAAAAGATATCTAATTGGAGGTTATGCATGTTCTCTGGGCTGCAAGCATATTTGCTAAAATCCCGAACGCCCACATCCAACAAAATCTCATCGTCCATGAAGAAATTGCCAGTGTATTCCCTGGCATCTCTGCAAATAATGGCATATGCGGCATCTGCCATTATATCAGGTTTCCGCGCGTATTTGGCACTCTCCGAACCACTCAGCATTTCAATTGCAGCCGTATGAATTGTTGTCCGAGGCCAAAGGGCATTGACGGCCACGCCTTGAGAACGGAACTCCTCGGCCATGCCAAGGACACACATCGACATGCCGTATTTGGCTATGGTGTAAGCTGTATGATTGGCAAACCAATGCGGCTTCATGTTCAGAGGGGGAGATAGGTTCAAGATGTGTGGATTATCGCTCTTCAGCAGATAAGGCAAACAGGTTTTGGAACTGCGAGAATTAAGAAATCTTGAAAGAGCTCCCATTTCCATACGCGAAAAACCTCCACTTACACCAAGAAAGTGCCTCTTGTATTTATATTCTGCATCAGGTCATAGCGCTTCATGTCCGTCTCCAGGGTCGGCGTAAGGGATATGGCACTCGCATTGTTAATAACAATATCGATGCCTCCGAATTTAGCCACAGCTGCTTCAACCGCCTGTTGCACCTGCTTTTCATCGCGTACGTCCACAATGCAGGGCAGAGCTTTGCCACCTGCCCTTTCGACTGTGGATTGATATCAAGATAACACAAATATCATTTCCAGTTCAACTCAAGTACAAAGTGCACTACGTACTCTCCTCAGCTGCCGTATAAATGGTGCCAGGCAATTTTGGATGTGGCTCAGCTGTTTTAGCCGCTATCACAATATTTGCGCCATCCCGCGCTGCTTTCAAAGCGATTGCTTTGCCAATGCCACGAGATGCTCCTGTGATGAACAGTGTCTTGCCCTGTAATTTTCTACTTACTTTGTCAATATAATTTACCCACAATGGTCAAACTTCAATAATTACCCAGAGTTCCTCATTCTTACTCTTAGCAAACTTTCTGCTAATCTAAAGAGAGCAGTAAGCAAAAGTGACCAGATCGCGATCGATTTAAAATGTCTATTGTTTACTTGTTATCAATTTGAGTAAGGAAAACCGACTATTTTAACTTTTGCCAGGTGGTCACACTTAAGCGCCTTAAATTTAAATGAATAACGTACATATTTTACTTAATTTTAAAATGCAGCATTAGCGCCAAGTCTTTAATAATCACGCACTTTACTTTTTTTGCACTGCACGATTGACCCCCACCAGGCCTGGGCGACTGAAGAAATGCTGCCGCTGCTTCCCTTTATATAGGCATCAGCCTGAGTCGCTCTCAAATGATGAGCCCGGTGAGAGGTAGAGGTCGTTGCAGTCGAGTTTTAAACGACGCTCTCTGTTGCGTAGGCTGTAGCTCTTCTTCGCTCTTTCCTTTGTTAGACAGACATACATAGAAACTGATTTAAGTAGCATCTGCCACAACTTTTATCCTATTCTAAATTCAACAATTAATCACAAAACAAATGATTTACAATTTAGCTAGAGGATGTCTATCATCTATAAATAAAGCTAAACTCAATTTATTATTATTTTCTGGATAGCAGGCATATTTGCTCAAGTCTGTTACGCCTTCATCCAACAAAACTTCTTCGTCAATGAAAAAGTTTCCCGTAAATGCTCTAGAGTCTCTACATATTATGGCATACGCAGCATCTGCCATTATCTCTGCTTTGCGTGCAAATAATTCACCCTCAGGTCCAAAGAGCATATCAATAGCTGCCGTATGAACTTTGAAGCGAGGCCAAAGCGCGTTAACTGTCACGCCCCTGTCGCGAAATTCCTCCGACATGCCCAGAACACACATTGACATGCCATATTTGGATATAGTATAAGCAACGTGATCTGCTACCCATCGGGGGCTCATGTTCAGCGGGGGAGCCATGTTCAAGATGTGAGGATTATCGCTTTTCAACAGATAAGGCAAACAGGCTTTGGAGCTGTAGAGATAAAGTTGAAATTATATTCTGAATCAAAGACGATATGATAAGCATTGCACCTACACCAAGAAGGTGCCTCTTGTGTTAACATTCTGCATGAGATCATAGCGTTTCATATCAGTTTTAAGTGTAGGAGTTTTTGATATGGCACTCGCATTATTTATCAAAATATCAATGCCTCCGAATCTAGCAACGGCTGCTTCAACCGCTTGTTGCACCTGCTTTTCATCGCGTACGTCCACAATGCAGGGCAAAGCTTTGCCCCCAGCTCTTTCAACTGTTAATAAACATGTAATGTTGGTTAACATAATTGTCCTCTTTTCATATTCACTTACTCTCCTCAGCTGCTGTATAAATTGTGCCAGGCAATTTTGGATGTGGATCAGCTGTCTTGGCAGCTATTACAATATTTGCACCATCTCGGGCTGCTTTTAAGGCAATCGCCTTGCCTATGCCACGGGACGCGCCAGTAATAAACAGTGTTTTTCCTTTTAATTTGCTATTCAAATATATTTAGTTATTAATATTTTAATTTATATAAACAAACAACTTTACTACCCGTTATTTTTCATTGTTGACCATTGTTTTCTGTTCTGCAATGTGACCAAATTAAATTAACTAGAAAAATCCTAACAGTGCTTCGGGACATAACAGAGAGCAACAAGTTGTTGCTGTTCGTGTGTGAATTTCATAATAAACCCATTCACGCAAAATTAATTAAATTCTTTACCATAATACTATTCCTTAAAATATGAAATAAATCTCTAATTATATTGGTACAATATATTTGAAATTTAATGTTTATATTCAAAATTACTAAAATCGTATTTCCGAATGTGATATTTTCTTTTCGCCCATCACTAAAAATAAAGCATTTTCCAGCACTTCACTAAAAACATTTTAACCGGTGCAAAAATGCGATGCTCCACAAATAAAAAGACGCTGCCCGAGTGAACAACTGAAACAAAGTAGTTTTCATAAAACGATGACAATTTAACTAATGAAAAAATCAATATAAATACACATCAACAATGTCAGAAACGGTCGAGACCAGCCAGGCAGCCGTAGAAGATGATTCGGCTCACGATTTTATAGAGCTCAAATCTATGGAAGATGTGGAGAAATTGGAGCAGAAGCAAATTTACGATTACATAGAAAAATTACACGGAATTATAAGGAAATACGATACAAAGATTGCGTCATATAAGCAAAGGCTAAAGCATTTTGTGAGATTTGCAGATCGAAAGGTTTCTTGACAAGACTAAAATGAAATTTTCTTGCAGCTCAACAAGGAAGCAAAAACTTCAGATGAAAAATTAGCGAATGGCGAAACAAAAGAGACAAAGGACAATGTTGTGGACGGAGAAGAGGGAAAAGAGCGTAAGTGTTAAAATATTACAACAATTTATTAATTATATTAAATTCTACATGGAAGATATTTTGTGGATTGCTTAATTATATCCGTTCGCAATGAGAAACGGAGTATATTGGTTTTCATGTTGATTTGCTGGCGACGGCAGCCACGAGCGCAGCTCCACGCCCCGAACCATCCTCGGAGAGCATAATATCGAATTCCTTATCCGGCTTGACCAGCTTCTGCATCATTTCCCTTATATAACTGTCGAATTTCGGATGAAGGCGATAAACAGATCCATCCATGCCAACCACAACCTTACGATCAGGGATTTTGTTAATCAGTCCACTGATGCCAATAGCCACCAAAGTTGCAGCACGCCTGGCCACACACTCGCAGATGTATTTCAGTTTCTGGCAGTCCTCCACGGACGCCTTATCCAGTCCAAAAAGCTCCTTTACAATGCGTCTGGTGCTTGCGAATTCGGGAAAGGAATCCTCTTCTATCTCCGATATGTGTTTCGTCTCGAAGATATCCACATTGTTCTGCAGCACCGCAACGAAGGCGGCACGTTTGGGGCACAGCTTAAAGATCTTGTTCCTCTCCAGGGCGCGCAGCAGCACCAAACGCACTAATTCGCCCAAATACATGCCTGCGGTCATTTTCTCGAACAGCTGCTCTGAGCGATTAATCGACTTTCGGTCCACTTCACGATCGTAATCCGTGCGCACAAAGTCCAGTTGTCCGTTCTCTCCAAAGGCGCCCCACTCCACATTCACAATCACCTGGCTGCGACTGCGTTTGAAATTCGGATCGAGCAGCTCCACATTCTCCACCTGCTCCACATAGCAGGCATTGCAGCCGGTGCCGACAATGACGCCCACGCGACATTCGGGATTGCGATGTGCGCAGGACATCAGCGTGCCAGTCGTGTCATTGAGCAGAGCGACGACTGCAATCTCTGCGTCTCCGCGCCTTTGAATGGCGTCGTGCAGCATTTGGCCCACATCGTGGCCCTCGACACCGGGACAACTGAAGCCTTTCGTCCACCTCGTCAGCATCGCCTCCTTCAGACCCAACTGGACGCAGGGAAAGGAGAAGGTGAAGCCCAGCGGCAAATAGGCCTTATCCATGTCGTGCTTGGCCACAAATTTGGCCAAGCATTCTGCAATATGATCAAACAGCTCCACGCCCGGCCCAGTCATCAGGTTCTTGGGCACGGGATAGATCTGCGACTCGACTGTGGCATCGTGGTGTCCCTTGAGCGTAACAAGCAGCACGCGGAAGTTGGTGCCACCCAGGTCCAGGGCCAAATACTTGCCCATCTCGTCACCGGTGGGCAAGTCCTGGACATATGTGGGAAAGCATTTTGTGCTCGCCTGTTCGTGTGTGCTCCGTCGCAATCCTTTGGCTGTCTCGTTGCAGAAACGGCTGTAGACCTCTTGCACCTGGTAATCGCTCAGCACAAAGGGTTGCATAAGCTCACGTATTTCTACATCGACCATTTTCTTCAATGTTCTATTGCACCGTTGCTATCCGCCTGGCTCGAATGATGAGTAACGACTAACCAGACCACATACAAGCACCTGCTAACGTCGCCAACTGTGGCTGCAGTCGCTGCTGCTGTTGCTGCTGTTGCTGCTGCTGCCGCTGCGGCACTTGATAAGAATTGCAGTAGCTCAAATTTTCGCGTTCGCAGTTTATAACTGTGTAATCTAAGCTAGCATCAATTAGAAAACAAATCAACTAAATCTGCTGAAACATAAGTAGAAACACACAACGTGTGCTACCCAAAGGCGATAGAGCTTATACGCCGGATAGAGCTTGCCAGCCTCTTTTGATGCAGCTACCTTAGGGCATATTAATTAAGTCTGTTAATTAGTCTGAGAATAGATGTCTAGGCTATGAAACATTTATAGGCCATTGAAGTCGTATGATTTGATATGCGCAAGCGGCTTAAATTCTTGGAATTGCTTTTGTTCATACGAAACCACATTTTTTCAAACCATTCTTTCTTTCTAATCCACATTATGCAGTAATTCTGTAGCGCAAAAGCTTTGTTTACATATAGTAATCGTCTCGTATAACAAGTTTGTTGAAGTTACTAAAGAGAAAAAAATCTGTTTTCTTATACATGATCTAAAAGTTGTACTAATACTTTCTACAACTGTTTTGTGTGATATATGTGTACATAGATTGTATGGATAGGCTGTTCTGAAATCGTGACGAGCTCTTTATACAAGAACTAAAATGTTTATCTATTATTTCTAACACAGCTTAGCTCAGTTATTATTTATTATTTTAAGAACTTTAGATAACAGATACTAAGTGACAAACAAGTATAATTTTGATCTTCAGACTATAATCTTACATTGTAACAGATGCAATTATCTATAGCGAATCAACTGTTGATAATGACCATATAGTTTATGGAACTTCAAGTATCTTCCATGTAATTAAAACTCAGACTGAAGTCCAATACTGAAACTAAATCAAATTAAATTTGTATAACCTCTCCTTGAATAGAGAATTCTTTTAACTCTCCGATACGCATTCTTTTATAAATATATACATTAAACTTTATCAATTAAGAATAATAATAATATAATAATTTTTCAATTAACCCCTATTTCCCACTATTTGCAGTTAGCCTAGTTTATTTGCCTGTAGAAAACAGTTTTTATTATATTGTTTCGCGTTGTTGTAGTCAGGCCCGTTACACATTTAATCTTAATTATTTCCTTATTTTTACTATAAAATGGAAAAGTTGATAATCCCCAAGCGCCAAGTTTGCGTCAAAGTGCGCGGAAGATTAGCGTAAGGTCCCTGGTAAATGATGTAAGCGATTTGGCACAGGCTAACTAGGCGATAAGACTAGATCTAAAATATTAGTACATATATAAATATAATATATATATATTAACTCTTTACAGTTTCGGCCACGGCTGCGTTTAGTTTTGTGGACGAAATGCGTCAAGCGGCAAAGCATGCAGAGAACTTGAACAATTTCGTCTATGAGCCCACGTCGGGCCTGTACTATGATCCCAAGACTGGCTACTACTATAATGCGGTAAGTATTGGCAGAGAGTGTACGTACGTATATACTGTCTATATATGTGTATCATTTACATCAACGTAATCTTTATGACGTGCCAACACGCTGGAGGTTATCGACAAGCAATGAACCGACAGCAATGCCTCTGCTTGATATATACAAACTGACTCTGACTCTGCCTCTTCCTTCTCTCTCTCTCTCTCTCTCAGGAATATGGTCTCTATTATGATGGCAATACGGGCTGCTACTACAGCTACGATCAGTCGAAAGATTCGTATGAATTCCATTCACAGGCACAGGTGCAGGTGAGTCTGTGGCAGTTGCAACAAGTGTGAATTTCGCTGATTGATTAAACTTAATGATCATTCTTTTACTCCTATCCGCTCGTCTACACCCTTCTACTACTGCTCCGTTAAGAGCGAGTCTCTTAGATTTTTAGCACGTTTTCGCAATCTGCGCATAGACCGAATGCGTTGCAATGCATTAGGTAAGCGCTGTGCCTTCGAATGTGCGATAAAAACGCGGATTTCTTTTCTTTTATCCGCTTTTAGGCAAACAGCGCCGCTGGCGGTGGCGACAAGGAGCAGCAGGATAACGAGGAGGACCATCTGCACGATGAGGTGGAGTTCGATGAATACGGTGGCGTGATCACGGACAAAGCAACGCTGAAGCAGATCAAGGCAGAGAAGCAAAAGCTCAGAGATCGCGCTGCCAAGAGCAAGCGCAAGGCGAAGAAGAAGCATGCGAAGGAAAAGAAGAGAAAGGATCGTCGCCACAAGTCGAAGAAGCGTCACAGGGACTCGGACAGCGAGGGGAGTCGCAAGCGCAGGGCTCGCGATGTCGAAGACGGCGAACTGTCGCAATCTTCGAGCAGCTCCAGCTCGGAGTCGAGCGATGGGGAGAGCAGCAACAGCAACGGGGAGGATGACGGTGAGGAGTCCTCCGGCGTGCCCATCTTCAAGTCCAACAGTCGCTTTCAAGGTGTCTAAAGAAATTCGAGTTTTTATCCGCATTTAAACTAGACTCAATATATATATATATATATATATATATATGTATGCTAATCTTTGTCTAATCCTCGCCAGACATTGCCAAAAAGTATCCACCCTCGCTGCGCATCATTGTGCAGGAGACAAACGTCCAGGACCTTACCGTGGGCAGCCTTCACTTGATTACCTACAAGGGCGGCTCGCTGGGCAGGGAAGGAGCCCACGATGTCATCATTCCGGATGTGAATGTCAGCAAGTGCCATCTGAACTTCCACTACGATACAAAGCAGGGCGTCTACAAGTGCCGTGATCTGGGCTCTCGCAACGGCACCATTCTCAATGGCTCTCGCATGTCCGAATCGAAGGAAGCCAGCGAAACATTTGATCTGGTGCATGGCAGCGTCATCAGCATTGGCCAGACCAAGTTGCTCTGCCATGTGCACGAGGGGAATAGCACTTGCGGCTTGTGTGAGCCGGGACTGCTCATCGAAACGCAACCAGCTGCAACTGCGCCAGCTGGGGCCGGGAATACGCTGACACACAAGGAGCAGTTGAAGAAGCTTCAAAAGAAATACGGCCTGGAGAATGAAAGTGAGTTTTTGGGTGGATAAATTGATGCGCAATGATAATGATGTATTATTATTATAAATATTATTCTAGAATTTGTGGAGTCGAGCGGCAATCCCAATCCAAATTATAATGATCGCAGTGCTCAGCGACGCATCAAGGTGGGCAGCAGCACAGACAAGGAGAAGACCGAGGTGGCCTGCGTGCACACGTAAGTGGAAAGTCTAGACTGTGAGAAGATGAGCTTTAATCTATGTCTATATTATCTATGCAGTGAAATAGCCAGCTCCAACAAGGGCTTCAAAATGCTCAGCCAACTTGGCTGGCAAAAGGGCGAAACGCTGGGCAAGGGCAATCAAGGATTGCTAACTCCTGTAGGTTGCATATGGTAGTCTAAGGAAGCCTATACATATTTATCTGTATCCTTTCCTATCCATATCCAGATCAATGTCGTGGCCAACGAGGGCACCACTGGCCTGGGCAGCACCGATCCGTCGGCCAAGAGCGCCGCACAAACCATGGACAAGCGTAAATTGGCCAACTTGAAGATAACCCAAGCGCGTTATCAGCGCGCGAAAGATATATTCGTATTATCCGATGAGAGCGATTAATAGAAATTGTTGTTTTTGTTGCTATTTTTTGTTTTTTAAGTTTGAAACACATTTAATTAACAATTACTCATACATTATATGATCATAAGTACATATATATATATATATTATATATAGGGTATATGTAATTAGAAAATCTTGCTATATAAGGTTAAGCTATCAGTCAATTAATTAATTTAGCTTCGCTCAAAACACACACAAGAAAAAAATAATAATAATAGAGAAATATGGAGTAAAAAAAAATATAATAAACTAAAATAAATAAAATACACTTTGCAAAAAGGAAAACTATAAAATACAATACGCGTGTGCCAACCAATTTGTGTATAAATTAATTCTGATTTAGTTTATGTTTATGTTTAAATATGTTTGATTTTCTTTCTTTTCTTGTTTTTTTAATACAAAAGCCTCTTAAGATATGTGGATTTTTCTTCTTCGACCTCCTGCCATGGATGTTGCATAAGAATTGTTGTTATATGTTAGATGTGCTGTTGTTGTTGTTGCTATTCGTTGACAGTGCTGATAAATGCGATAATACTTTGCCAAGTGCATATATATGTGTGTATTTATGTGTGTATGAGTGCGTGTTTGTATATATATGTATATTATATTCACGATTGCCAAACGTACAGCAAATGTACCAAATCAGTGGCCTAGAGGTACCAAACGGTAAAATTTATTACCCTCTGCAGCAACCGTGATGTCGATAGTGGAAAGTTTTGGCAGCAGCCTAAGGCCCTTGCATCGGTTTACAACACTAAACAAAAACGCACAACGAGAATCTTTGGATGTTGGAACTACACAGAGAGGTGCGCTACATGGATGTATGCATATATGCGCACATTATATATATGTATGTATGTATATGTAAGCTAATGTGATTTTCATTTGTATTGTTAATAATTTGCTAATTTGATCTAACAGACGCCCGTGGAGCGAACGCCTATGAAGAAGCCCGTGGCACACGAATCCTTGCGCATCTCACACCACGAGTTGTATGTGTGATTGTTGTATCCACAGATTTTATCCGCTCTAAATGGCTGTGAAGAAAGAGCAAATTTCCCCATTGAACAAGTAAATTCCCATTATCTGCCGTTCGCCACTCACCGTTCGCTGCTGTTTGCGTGCGCATTTGTAGCGGCAGGAGACGCAGCGGGGCATATGCGTCTGCAGGTCCACCAGGCAGGTATCCTTTGGGCCGCACTTGATGTCCGCACAGGTGACGCGGTCCGCTGCAAAAGTAAATTTTTACGAGTCATACATTTAAAGCAGTTACAGTCGGGTTTCTGTTTTTTTTATTTTTCTTAAGTTTTTGCGTTTTCTGCGTTTTTATGTCTGGCAATTTCGGTTTAATGGCCCCCTCGCGCATATCCTGGCCCAAAAAAAAATCATGTGAACTTCGGCAGGTGTTATTTCAAGATTTCTTGACAGGCTGCAGCTGGCCGAGGCCACGAAATTTTAATGCCTGCTTCTAATACCCTTCAACGTATTTTTTCTCAGCGTTAACTGACAACGTCTTATATTTGAGCAGTCAGAGCTATTATGGAAGGCGTCGAAGGGAATTTTGTATTATATTATATAAATAAATAAAAAATAGCTACAAATACCTAATCATTTTTAATTAATATCTATTTATTTGCTTTCGCGTATATCGTAGAAACTTCCCCATGTCTACGCTTTTGGTGTGTGCTTATGCTAGTTAAATTTCCCTTGCCTACATTGCCTAGGGCATTTAAAAATTTCCTTTGTTTACATTCTCTGTTTTTTTTAGCTAGGTGGCAACTTAGTTAACACTTTAAGCGTGGGATATTTTGCAGTGCGAAATTTTATGTGAAATAAAAAGTGAAATAAATGCAATTTAATAAAATGATAATTAATATAAGAAACTCGAAATGGTTGCGCTTCGTAGTGCATTTAAAGGGTGAGTGCATATTTTATTATTTATCAATGTTTCTGGTCCGTGCTTTAAAAAGCGCTTACAGCTGTTTTTGGCTTTTTAAATTGGGTGTTGTTTTTGTTGTTACTGTTGCTGCGCACTGCAATTTTCGAGCGCTGGCACATTATTCACACCACAGGCAATGGCAATGTATACACGTATAATGTATGGCAGGAACCGCCCCATTCTTGACATGCGCAAGACGGTAGCCAAAAGCCGACTCCGACTCCGACCGCGGCCAAGGCAATTCAGCCAAGCGGCGCAGCCGCAAACGCACACACACACACAGAGGTAAACACATGCACTCGTATATCGTGTATATGATCTTGGCAACAATGTTGCGCCCTGGAGCAAATGTTGTGCACAATTGCTTAGCAACTTTTGAGCGAGGAGCGAGAAGGAGAGAGTCTGTCTGCATAGTTCTTGCTGATTGCGTGTCAGAAGAGAGGGGCAAATGCTCTGCATAGCTTTTGCACACTGCAGACTGAGAGGGGAAGCGGAAATTCCTCTATAAAGCTGCAGCTGTCTGAAAGGAGAGGCTGCGGGGAATGGGCGTGGCAGTCTGCATAACTACTGCTGCCGGTGCCGCTGCTGCTGCTGGCTGCAATTCGTAACAGTTAAAGTTTATTAATTTCAACTGCCAATATTCGCCGCAGGCAACAGTAGGCACTACGTCCTTTTGGTACTTGTTGATTGTGATGGATATGTTCGCTGGCCGCGCCGCCTGATAATGCCGTCACAATGCAGCCCAACTGTAATTTGTTATGTCGACGTGGTTTAATCAACGCCAGCGGCAGCCCATACGTCCGTCCGCATGTCCAGGTGTCCTTCCATCCGGTTTTTAAGCAGACGTTGCCGCTGCCACTGTTGGCGGAACTTATTGCAACATTGTGTGGCATGGCCAAAGACTTTCGTTGTGGTCGCCTGGGTCATACCACATCTACCTTGTCTTGCAGACGGCGGACTGCCGACTGTGGACTGCGGACTGTGGACTGTGGAGTGGGGCTGAGCTGTCTGGCCATTTTGGCATTGCGTGTTGTTTAAGGTGATTTTAATACGATCGTAAACTTCAGCCAGCCCAGACGCTCAGCCAGACAAAAGTGACGTCTCGCGAACAGCGGACACAAAGCTCAAGTTTAGCGATGGCTGCGTGACTGCGTGAATATCGTAAAAGGGAAATTTCTTAGGGCCAAAGTGTTTAGCAGAGAAATGCGATAGGCACGAACTTGAGCAAATGTAAACATGACGTGCACATCTCTACAGAATGGTATATGTAACTATCGCTGCTGAGTGCTGTGATGCTGGGACACGAAACATGAATAAATGATAATCAAATGAGTAAATTTATATAAAATATCATTTTTTATATAAGATAAAGCTTGAATATGTAGAATAATTATAAGATATATAAATAATAACAATAAAAAATAGTAGATAATATCGTGACTCCGTGCTTGCACTCTCTCTAGCTTAGAACTGCTGCCATCTCTAGCCCAGAGCGCACCGCACGGGCAATCACAGTGCCAAGCTCTCGCTCGCGCGCTCTCTCTCTCTCTTCTCCTATTCCTTTTACCACAACTCCTTCGCCTTCGCTGCGTCTCTCTAAAATGGCGTTTTTAATGGCTTGTACGTGTAGTCATATTTCTTTGCCTTCGCTTGCGTTTGTGTTTGTGCTTAATGCTTTACTCTTTTTTTGGGCTCTCTTAGGGGCTCTCGATCGGGACTGTGCAAATATATTTATGTGAAAGCACACGAAAAACCATAAACTTACAAACCATAAAGATAAAATGCTCAAAAACGAAAAAGCAAAACAAATGCAGAATGTTTACGTGTGTGTGTGTGTGCATTATTTTATCGACTGACGATCAACCATAAAGTTGCAGACAGAAGCTGCAAGCAGAAGCTACACAGCTGCAGCTTGGAGCTGCTAAGCCTTTGCATGCCAAACAAACAAACTGCACGCACACACGCACGCACGCACACACACACACGCACGCACGCACACGCACACCTTGATGCTTAAAAGCAAAAGTGAATAATTGTTAATGATGTTAATTTATTTTAATATCCGGCTACCGTGCAACAACTTGAGCAGTCTTTAAAGAGCGGGCTAACAGAGGAAGAAGAGGGAGAAGGAGAGGGAGGGGGGGGGGGGGGGGGGGGGGGGGGCAGCTGGAGACAGGTTGCAGCAAAAGGTGCGCAAAATTTATGAGTTTTTTGCAGCGCAGACAGCACAACTAATGACGAGAATGCGACAGACAGACGAGCGGACGGACGGGCTAATGGACAGACGAGCGACGACTTTAAAGTATGAATGGAATACATGAATCAGTTACAGCTGCCAAATGAATAGGCATTTGTGGAACCAAGAGCTGGGCAGTATATATGCTATAGGGTGTGCTCTAGAACAGATTTATAAAAACTTGAATATTAAAATTCTGATATGCAAAAGGAACTGCGAATATAATAGTTCATATGTTATTCCTTACTATTTATCTAAATATGCATACAGTTTTAAATATTCTTAGATGTTATTCAACTTGATTAGATCTTAAATTGGCTTTATAAAGGAGCCAACAGAGAAACTGGTGTACTCTAGAATATATAATATCTTCAATATTAAAATTCAGAAATGCAAAAGGAACTGCGAATATAATAGTTCATATGTTATTCTTTACTTTTTATCTAAATATGAATACAGTTCTAAACATTTCTAGATGGTATTCAACTAATAATATCTGAAATTGGCTTTATAAAGGAGCCAACAGAGAAACTGAAAGCTGCCTCCGGCTGAAATTTAAATTAATCAAATTTGAATATAGAAGTATTTTATAGCGCAATTTTCAGTTTAGATAACAAACTCAGTTCTTTAACTATATTTTTTTCACTCTATAATTGATATATTTCTAGTCTGGCTCTAACTGCCCGAGTTGAGTTGAATAATGGCAGAAACAGGTAATCAACACCTGAGTATTTGGCGTCTAATTAGGCATTGTCAATTGCCAATAGATCTGTAATTAAGTGAGCCGCCCTACCTAGCCAGCTACCTACCTGTTGCTAGCCCACCTGCCTAAACTCGATGCAAATCCAAGAACTTTTCGAGTGCAGAAATTGGAAATATTTTGTTGCTGCTGTTGTTGGACTTTTGTTTTAATTGCAGTTATAATTTATTTGTTTTTTTGTTTTGTTCAACATTAATTACAAGCGAGCGAAAAAAAAAACAGAAAACATAGCAATTAGCACGCAATTGCAGCCGGGCAGCCGAGCTGCCGCCTCTGACACACTAAACCAGTTTATAAAATCTGTCCAATTGCCTCGCAGTGTCTCCCCTGTCTGTCGTTCAGATATGGCGAGAATGCAACACCCGCCACGCCTTTAATTGGTGCGGCGACTGACACCAAGGCGGCGGCAGCAATTGTTGTCATTGCTGCTGCTGCTGCTGCTGCTGCTGCTGCTGTTGTTGTTGTTGCTGCTGCATCTCGGCAGCAACATCTCATTGTAGGCGGCAACTGCTTGCATATAATTAATTGGAAATCGGAGAGTCGATCAATCGCAAAATGTAACCACAAAATTAATAAGCATGAATTATGCCAACTGAGACAGAGAGAGAGAGAGAGAGAGAGAGAGATGCGCGACAGTTAAACTAGAGCAATGCTGACAGCAACAATTGCTGCTGCAGCAGCAACAACAGCAACTGGCTAATCAAATTGCTGGCAATCATGGAACCGTATAAGCAATTTCCAGCCAACAAACATTGAGCGCAACTTGATATGGCCAGCCAGTTGCAGACGACAGCGCGACAACAACAAGCAGCAGCAGCAACAGCAACAGCAACAGCAGCTTGTGGTTGTGACTCGAGTGGAAACCTCAGCCAAGTCAAGTCAATCAAATGCCAAATTGCGGTTCTGCGTTGATTGTTGTTAAATTTGCACAGCCAACGCTACCAACAACAATTGCAACTGCAGCAGCAACACTGACAACAACAACAGCAACTACAACATCAACAGCAGCAGCAGCAATTCCACTAGCAATAATTTGCCAAACCACTGGCACTTGGTAGCGACTTTCAATTAGTTTTGATTGAGTTTTAAAGTCTTATCAATAAGTACCATAAATTACATAGAGCTCGGCTAGGGTAGCTAGCCAGCCAGCCAGCCAGATGGGGAGTTACGTACCACGACATGGACCCGGATATGCCACAGCAATTGATCGTCCAATTTTGCAAATCATACGCTTTATATCACAAGTGCTACGATATGTCTTCCCGTCCACGCCACAGACAGCCCGCTCCTCGACAATGGGTGCCTCGTCCGGCTGCCCGTCGCCGTCCAGATCGTATGCGATGTCATCCCAGGGACACTCGATTTTGCATGTGATGCAGTGGGGCATCATGTATTGATCCTCGACGCAGGTCAGGCCATTTACGCACTGGACGCCATTGCAGCTAGCTGTGTGTGTGTGTGTGTGGTGAGGAAAAGAGTGAAATTGGAATTTAGTTGAAATTGTTGAAAATTTTGTTGAGCAATATTTATATAGGGGGAAATTTGAAGAATGCTAAGGAAGGTTTGCTTAGATATATATTGTAAGAAGGCATAAAAAATAATAGGGAAATTATGATATGCATATGTAATTTGTAGCGGGGAACTGTGCGTAACAGGGTAATTTGATAATTGCGCATAAGGGATATTTGCAAGAAACTAAGCTTAATAATAGGGAAAATAAGGTAATTATTGCAAAAATCCTGGGTAATGCATTGTAGGAAATCAAACTGCTTTAAATAATGGGAAATTTGGTTTCTTTCTCTAAATGCAAAGGCAAACATAAAACAAAAGATTAAAAAAATATTGGTCTATAATTAGATGTATGCACGTTCTATATACCATTTATATTGACATTAGGTAAACGTCGAAAAATTCTATAAAGGCAGTGATATGAGTTTTTTGGCTCAGCCGATCACTCAATCGAAGCAAATCTTTTCTTGATTTTGGCAAGCAAATAATTAATTTATTTATATTCCAGATAATTTTGCTCTTTATAGTACGATTTTAGTACATATATATATGTATATTAAATGTACGTAAGTGTTGAAATTTTCAAATAAAAAAGTATATTTCTTAAATTATGATAAAAATGAAAACATTTTATCATCATACTTCCCACTCAACAGAAATCGTGGACAGTTTATTTAAGGCCCACTTCCTGTATTAAATTTTCCTTGTCATATATATATATATTTTAAGTATTATCATAAAAATATATTCATAAATTCATTTCAGTTAATCATATATAGAAAATCCATTGGCCTTCAGCTCGCAAATCTCTTTAAAGGCCAAAGCCAATTGAGGGCTGGCGCATTTCATGTAACTTTTGGCAAGTGTAGCCACAACTACAGATATATGTATATGAATATACATATATGCAAACATAAAACTGACAAACTTGTCAAATGTACATCCATATATATTTATATAGATCAACTTGTGATTATATAGGAAGCGACATTTGGCGAATTACCTTGCCTATGCCAGTTTGTAATATACGTAGACTCTAGAGGCCTCTATGTATGTATGTATACGTATGTATGTATGCTGATTATGCTATAAATAAACTGTTTTTGCCAATTTCTATGATTAGCGTAAAGGCGCATGAATACATAGATAAATTATATACATGTATATATGTATATACATATATGCTCAATATGGCTGGCTATAAACTGTCAAATTTATCATTGCATATGGCCCGTTGAAACGCCTTGGCGCCAACTGTGACACTCGCCAAAGAAATTGCATTCATTTTTCTGCACAAAATTACGAGGCGCGAGAGAGACGGGCAGAGCATGAGTATGTGAGAGAGAGAGAGAGAGTGAGTACGATCTGCATGGCCAGATCTTTAGATTGCGCGATTGCACATTCCACAAAAGCTGAAGCTGAAGCTGGAGTCAGAGCTGGAGTTGGAGTTGGAGCACGCGCCAACATTAGATGTTGCTGCTGCTGCTGTTGCTGCCACAGCCGTTTTATGTCTTGCCACAGCAAGAGCAACAGCAACAGCAGCGCTTGCGGCTAATCCAACAAGTTCTACGGCTGCCACGGCCTCAGCGTTCTTGTACGTTTTTATTGATCATTTGAGCATGTTTGCGAGTGCTTCCTGTATCATTAAATTATTACACAAGCGAGCTCGATTGGCTGCATCGTCAGTCCCTCTGTCTGTCTCCTCTGTCTGGCTGTCTCTCACAGAGTTTGTCTGTCTGTCTTGGCTCAGTGGATTTCACCACTGGCGACAAGTTGTTGGCCGTAATTGAAATGTGCAATAATTTGTCATCTAATCTAATTGTGACGCCGCTGCGTTTTGGCACGCGAGCAACACACAACAGCAACAACAAACACACACACACACACACATTCATACTGGTGTACTCACTCTTGCAGTGGCCGCGATAGGCGACCTCCAATTGGGCGTTGTTGGTGCGGCAGGCGCGTTTGCGCAGCTGGCATTCGGTATTGTAGGTGCGTCCATCGTTGCCGCAAACCGGATTCGTGTGCTGCTGCTGTTGTTGTTGTTGCTTTTGTTGGTGTTTCTGCAGAGAGCGGAGAATGCAGAGAGGAAAGTGGAGAGAGAGAGAGAGAGAGAGAGTTTTGTCAATTTAACCATTTGCACATAAAAGTTCTATTATTAATTTAATCAACTAAACTGTTCCTAAATTTACGAAAAATATGAATTATATATTTTCTGCTTTCTATATATCTATATTTTTGTGTTTAGGCTAGACTTCTTTTCGCTGATAATACATACGATATAAAAACAATTATGAAAAAAAAAACCATTTTTTCCAAAATTGTTATTTTTTTTTTTTTTATAATTGCTTAAGCATTTTTATATTGTATGTATTATCAGCTATAGGAAAATTACATATGTATATGTAATATTTTAAATCGTTAAGTTCTCAAATAAATTATAATCATTTATTTTTTAATTTTAATTTTTTTTTTTTTCAAATTTATTTTATTACTTTAAGAAAATTAATTTGTATGTTTTTGTATTTTTTTCTCTTGATTTTTATATATATTTTTTTTTACAGCGAATTGTAATATAAAAAAATAAATAAAAAATAAAAACAATATATTTTGAGGTAGACTTGTTTAATTTAAAAAATAAATATACATTTTTAAAGTTTTTTTTTTAAATTTAAAAAGTTTTTACTAAAGTAAACATAATTTTATTAATTTATTTATTTTTTTTTTTACTTTTATATTCCAAGCTATATTTTCCCAATCAATTTTTCCTACTTCTTTCTGCCCGTTGTTGTCCCTTATAAAGCTCCCTTGATCACATTAAAATATCTCAACAATTTAGCAGTACATGGTATATTTGCTTGTGGCATGCCCCTTTGGCGTATGCAATAGAATTTTGCTCGCCTTGCTTATGCTTATTTTATTTGAATTCGACTCACCAGTGGCGCTCGTTCATAAATTGCTGGCAAAAATGCCAAATCATCGGCATTAGCCAAGTGGCCGTGACTGTTGCCCGCTGATGACGCAGCCAATTCACTTCCGTGTTCAGGCAAATACAAGCGACGACGTCCGCCAGAGACAGCGACGGAGCCCAAGCCAGACATTGTGGTATTTGCTGCCGTTCGTCGTTGATCCTTGCGGTTGTGCTTGTGCTTACGCCTGCGCTGCTGCTGCTGCTGTCGTTGCTGCTGCTGCTGCTCGTATTGTTGGTCGTGATTTGGAGCATGTTGCTGCTGCTGCTGCTGCTGCTGGTGTCTGACTCGCTTTGGCGACGTCTGTCTATTAATGTCGTTGGCGGGTTCATTAGCATTTGCCAACTTGTGTCTAGACTGAGATGTCTGCGCAGGCGTCGTGGACGAGTCATTGGCTCCTGTTGCTGCTGCTGCTGCTGCTGTTGTTGTCGTCATTGATCTTGTTAAGTGTTTGCCATTGTTGTTGCTGCTGTTATTTTTCCTATGTCTGCGCCGCTCGCTGCTGCTCCAAGTCGGCGTCATTCTTTCCATTTCTACCTTCATCTGCATTTGCACTCGGCCTCCACTGCCGCTGCCGCTGCCGCCGCTGCCGCCGCTGCTGCTGCTGCTGCTGCCCTCCATGTGCAGCCGTCTGGTTGTGGGCTGCTCTTGCAAATTGCTGCTGTCTATAATCAAAAGTCTTCTGTGCCTCGTCTCGCCCTGCTCCGTTCCTCGACTATGACTCGCTCGCTTTGGCATACGCTGCTCTTGGCTTGGTTGCTGCTGTTGTTTTCTTTGGTTATCAGCGCCGTTGTTGTTGCTGCTGTTGCTGTTGTCGCTTTGTTTATGCTGGCGTTTGGCGCCATCTAAACCTAAATTGCTGTTTGTAATTTCGCTACTTAGACTACGTGAACCGCGCAACGATGACGCCCACAGTTGTTGCTGTTGTTGCTGCTGTTGCTCCGGTGCATTGTGATGTTGCTGCTGTTGCTTTTGCTGCTGCTGCTGCTGTTGCTGCTGCTGTTGCTTCCGGCGCAATGTCGCTCCACACTCGGGCGCACACACACATTTTGGCCTGCCCTTGCGCTTCACGCATTTCTTGTTTGGCCCACATTTGAAACCCTTGCAGCTCTCTACAAAATTGCATAAAATTATATAGTCTCAGACAGTCTCTCCAATGTCCGCCTGTCCGCCTGTCCGTCTATCCGCCCGGTTCACTCACCTATGCATGGCGCACACTCAACGCCGCCTCCGATGGCTGTGGCAAAGAAATGCTCGACGCTGCTCAGCTCTCGATCCGTGTAGGAGAAGGTCTGGCTGGCGCCGCAGCAATCCGATTTTGTGATGTTTGTTGAATAGATTTGAGTGCATTTACCGCTGCCCATATGCGACTGCCAACAGGTGCCAGCTACAGACACATATATATATAAGGTGGAAGAAGAAGAAGCAGAAGAATGCATGAAATACACTAGAGATTAATATGAAATTATGTAAACTCTATTTTAGATTAATGAAAATCGCATAGAAGAGGCTGATGAATCAGAACAAGAGTGAGGAGGATGTTGAGAAAGGCAGAGAGAGAGAGAGAGAGAGAGAGAGAAAAGGAGGAAGTGACGTTAATAGACTTAGTGAGTGTGACACAGATGAAAAGAGAGACGGAGTGAGGCAGATAAGGAGAGAGAGGTATATAAAATGAAGGCAGAGAGAGAGAGAGAGAGAGAGAGAGAGAGAGAGAGAGAGAGAGAGAGAGA